TATATATACCTCAGCGACTTAAGACTGGTTTTGTGCTCCAGGGTCACATATATTGATGGATTTTGATGTGAGAGGACAACAGGGGATGGACTTTTTCAGTCGAGGAACTGTTATTATGGATTATGGACTTATTTTGGCCAGCAGTGATGATTTAAAGCTGTCAATATGGGGTGCTGTGTGTACATTAATGAGGAAAAAAAATTAACGTAAATGATTTTAGCAAATGGCTGCAATATAACAAAGAGTGAAAAATTTAAGGGGGTCTGAATACTTTCCGTACCCACTGTATATATATATATTGATGGATTTGTTTCTTACAAACATGCATATTTTGGCTTCACAAGCATGAACTGGAGTGGTGTGGATTAATGTGATGTTTTTATCAGCTGTTTGGATTCTCATTCTGACGGCACCCATTCACTGCAGAGGATCCACTGTTGAGCAAGTGATGTAATGCTGAATTTCTCCAAATCTGTTCCGATGAAGAAACAAACTCATCTGAGCGAGTGTAAATTAAAACAAAATAAAAATAAAGAAATAAAGTCCATGCCTTGAGTGCCTTATTGCTTTTATAAAATAATTAGCATATAAAAATAAAAAAAATCTTAATATTTTTAAAACATTAAAATGTTTAATTTATTAAAAGTTTATTAATATTAATATTTAAAATTTATATATTTTGCACAAACTGATTTCTGCTATAAAATATAGCGACTGACATGCATATTTGAGCTATAATTGTGCTCCTAGAATCCGTGTTTTCATTGTTATACTGTAGGGGGCGCTAGTACACATCTTCTGTACAGAATTTCCAAAAAACACATGTGAAGAAGAAACCAAAACAACAGATGCTTCCACATGTAATCTAACACTATCATCAGACATAAAACAGCATCAAAACTGTGTAACATTATGGAATAAAATGTAGACCAATTAAGAGGTAATAATGACTGCCAAGCTTTGGGGTGTTGTTTACTTGAACTTTACTTAAGTATACTTACTAAAATAAACTTGAAGTATACTACTTTTTGGTAAGGGAGCTACAGTTATATACTAGCTGAACAGGTGATTCATGTTACAGCTGGAATGCTGCATCAACCAATCAGCATCCGGGAAATCTGTTTTTTTAGTCTGCAGGGTGTTATGTGTTAAAGCTATGCCATGCAATATGTTCTCCAGTTGTCTCATCAAAGTACCCATCAATCAGTGAAGTGTTAAGAACTGTATCAGTTAAAGCTTTGATTAATTCGACTGATCATGAGATCAGTGACACCCACACAATACTTTAAACTCAAAATGGGCCATACGAACATTACATGACCTCCCTGAACCGCCTGCGTAATGCTGGAGCATGCCAGCGGGGCTAATTTTGCACAAAAATGGACGTCAGCCCAAACTTTCTTGGAGGTATGTGAGTCTCAGATGAACTTTTTTAACAATGTGAAAACGTTGCAGTTGGCTCAAGAGTAGTAGGCGATGACAAGAATAAAATGAATGTAAAGTACATTGCAACAACACTTTGAAATGGCAACGCATTATAAAATAAAACCATAAATTCCTATCCTCCTCCACGATCTGCTGGCGCATTCAAAGAGATAATTAAAAGTGTTTTTCTTCACAAGGACTCAGATGGGGTATTCAGAGAATGAAGCGCAGGCTCCGATTATCTGCTCATATTCCACAAGGCCAGATTCAAACGTTTTAATAAAGTCTTGCATTCCAGTGTAGCTGTCTGACATGTCAACTGCAGTCTGTCTGCGTGAAAGAAAAATAGAAAACACTCTGTGCTCGTCGTCTGAGAGCCACATGAACAGAACCAGCTGTAGTACTGGGTCGCTGTTGTTTTTCGTACATCACCCGGTACGTTCAGCGCCGGGCTTCCCTCTTGTCTGGCAGCTTTCCTCAGGCAGTAGAACCACATATGAAAGTAATTAACCTAGTTCCTCTGTCCACGTTGCTTGCTTTCTCTTCAGTTGATAGGTGATGCAGTAAAAGTCGTCTGCTGAAAACACAGACGGCCTAAAAGCAGTGCCGATCCTAGACTATCGGCTCTGCCTAAAAGTGGTAGTCAAAAGGAAATGAGGTAAAGCTGCGATGAATCATCAGTCAGACATATAATTGGAGCGCGTCGGGTTTCGCAGACGAAAATATCAAATGGCCCATTATCACTGCATGAAGCACCGCTCACACTGAAGTCGCTTTCTATTGGTCAACGCGGCGAATTCGCGCGTCCAACTGGAACAGGAGCGAAATCTGCGTGGAGAGCGTTTTCAAGCTCGAGCGA